CCTGAGCTCTGAGACCCTCCCACATCACAGGATCCTAGAGCCTGGGCCCCAGCCTGAGTGTCTATACCACAATTAAACAGCCCCACAAGCCCGAGTCAGCTGGCATGGGCCAGCTGTGGGGTTTTATTTGCAGTGTAGACATATGCTGAGTGTCCTGTCTCTTTTAGGACTAGTTAACCCTTTGGGGCATGGGCTCAGGGTGTCCACAACACAACAGCAAATGTGTTGAGCAAGTAGTTTGCATGCAGTGCTGGGTTTACAATGGCCCCAGCTGGCCCCATGCTCAGAAGGGGCCCCAGCCTGCACTGCACTGAGCCCCAAGACTCCACTCCCCCTGCCCACCAAATGCTCCTCTTGGCCTGCCTGCCGGCTGGATGGGGACTCCTCTCCGCCCCCTGGCCCCACTCCCCTGCTCCTCTCTGCCGGACCCCAGTGCACATCCAGCTCCAGGCAGTCTCTGCTTCCCACCACCTGTGGGGCCCCGCCTGTCTCCCTGGAGCTGAGCCGAGCCACCTGGGACTGGTGCAGAAGCCTGGACAGTCTCAGCCAGTGGGGGGCGGGAACAGAGTGTAGGGGGCTTAGTTGGGTCCCTCCAGGCAAGTGGTCTTGAGGGAGCCCGGCCGACGCAGGCCCTGGTCTGCCTGATCGTACCAGAGTTGCCTCTCAGCAGGGCGGGTAACTGCCGCCAGGAGGCAGAGTGTGGGGGAGTTTCTTGGTGGGGGGATGGGTACTGGGCTGTGAGAGGGCAGGGAAGATGTGTGTGTTGGGGCACTAGGGAGTGGGGGGTCTGTGTGGGGTGCCGGGCAGTTGTGGTGGGGCTGTGGCAGGGGTGGTGTTGTGCAGGGTGCTGTGCATTCGTGAGGAGGGGATCTGGTGGGGCGCTGGGCATAGTGGGTCAAGTGGGGGCTCTGGTCATGGGCAGGGGGGCTGTGTGGCCCAAGCTGTGTGCTGCCAGCATGCCTCAAGGGGAAGGGGCATGCTGGTAGCACAGGGTCGGGTGGACCACTGTCTCTGGCAACTGCCAGTGTATAAATAGTGCCCTCGCACTGGGCTGGGGCCGTCCCTGCCATGCCTTGCCCCTGGCTGGCCCCTCGCTCTGGGGACTGACCTCTCCCCGCCATGCTCCATTGCCTCCATGGGGGTCCACAAATAGGTTTGGCGCCAGGCCCACAAAAGTTTAATCTGGCCCTGTTTGTATGGGATGTTTGGAAAGTCCCGATACTAGTAGTTCATGCTGGTGCCGTAGGGTTAAAACTTGCCCTGACAGCCTTTGAGACTCCTCTCGCTAATTTCAGCTGATCCTGCCTGTGCTGCTCTCACACAGTGTCAAACCCTCTCCCTTAAACCTCACTGCAAATGGTGGCTACATTCCTGTCACAGATCAATTCCAACCTAAAGCTGGCTGGCCTGGGATGTGAGAAGCCAAGCAGCAGCCTGTCACTTCAGTCTGTCCTAGACAGCAAAGCCCACAGCTTCAAAGATAGTTAGGCACCTAACTCCCTTTGAAATCAAGGAGCATTCGGTGCCTAGGTACCTTTGTGGATCTGAGCCCTTTACTCCCTATGAAGGAAATGCAGGTTCTCTCTTCAAAAACTGAAAAATCCCATGAAGTTTTTACCTCTTTCAGGAATGTAGTGCCACTCCAGCCCTATCTGGGTGCTCTCTTAGTATAGTGCAGGCAGAGATCTCACGTGATCCTTGGACTGCTTTTTGAATGGTTCAAAAATAACACAGTACAATTGTAAAGCAAATGCCATGAATTTATTTGGTGTTGAAATAAATTACAACTGTAAAGCATAATTTATTGCATTAAAAATGATCTGCTTTTAAAGGGCATTAAACCAAATGTAAACAGAACAAAGACAACTTTGATTGAGCAATTCATTCATTTTAAACTTTATAAACATTCTATACCCTATATTGTTGAAACCTCTGGACATAAGTTTATAAAGACTTGCACATGCGCAAAGATAAATTTGAGTTTACCGAAAGGATATTATAGAATTAAAATCATTTTAGTGGCTTTAGGGAGGAAGTTACTATTGCAAATTCTCCAATCCTGCTTTCCTCGTGCAGACACAACTCCCTTTGATTTTGATGGAGTTTGATCTATGAGACTAGAATCCAGCCCTAAATGATGAAATTAGCATAGAACCAAAACTGATCAGTAAAGCAAACATTCATTGCAGTTACAGTGTTAATAGCCAGAGAGCAGAGACTGTTTTTAAACATGTTTAAAACAAAACAAACCCCTGACCTTCAATGAATTAGTTTTGCTGGATAATTTGTATTTTAAATTTTTTTCCAGATAACACCTTTCCCCATTCCTGAGATTATATTAATTCTGCTCAAGGCCTTTTCTCCTGTAGTAGTCAGATCCTGTGAAGTGCTGAGTACCCTGAGTTTCCATTAATTTGAACAGGGTTTGAGGGTGTTCACAGCCCACCCAGAAGTGCTCTGCACAATCCAGCATCTGGCCCTGGTTCCATTACGATTTTAGCACATGAAATTCCTTAAACCAATGAGCTCAGCTGGGGCTAGCTCTGCATGGGCGTGCAAGGGGAAAAATAGGCACAAGGGCCCAGTCCCTCGAAGATATGTAGGCTCCCACCTTCCAGAGAAATTAATGGAAGTTAGGAGCCTAAACACCTTTTGAGAATGTGGGACAAGGAGGGGTCTTCTGCACACCCTGTTGCTGAGACTCGACACTCATGGTGTGAAATGACTTTGAAAGGGCAGTGCCCACAGAGGCAGAGACAAGGGGTGAGGGGTCATGTATCATTCCTGCCTCCTGAGCTAGCTGGCTGGCTGATCTCACTGAGGGTTCAATTCCCTGCTTACCCCACCCTTCCTTTGGGACCTTGAACAAGTCACATTGTCTTTTTGTACAATGCACTTCTCCCCTGCACAGGGTGTTGTGAGGCTAAGGATATTACAGATTGTGAGTGGCTCAGATGCTGCAATCTCTAGGTACAGATAAATGTCTGTTAGGTGGCTGCGTTGCCACAAAACAACAGCTACTCTTGAACTGTGAAAAGTGGGTGGGCGCTTACCAGAAATGGGGCACAGTCAGGATGGCGCTGGAGTCCTCTGTGGAGCACTAGCAGGAATGACAGCTGATCTCCTCCTGACAGGAACCGCAGCTAAGGGCAGTGGCAAACTGCTGGCGTTTTGGAGTCTTTTCTAGCACAAGCGTATTGAGCTTCCGTCTCTGCGACTAATGTCAATGCAACTCCAGTCTGAAGTACCCCATGGAAGAGCTAGCAGTGAGTACAGCTAAGCAAATGGCCTAAACCCTCCCTGAGCCTTAATACATTGCCTGTGTTTTGCAACGGAGCTTTGTCAGCCTGCAAAGCACCGGTCACACAGCAATCCCCTAACAATTAACTGTTTTCCTTTTAAAACAGACCCACCAAACTTCAGATCCAATTTCTCTCTGCTTAGCCTCTCTTGTTTCCTCAAAGCAGACTAAACACTTTCAAAAGCCATCCCTTCCTATTCTACCTTCCAGAGCTGTCCATTATGAGTGGCCTGTTGTACCAGAGGGGGAAGGGATCGTTGCACATTTCTGGACTGCACTCTCTCTTCATCCTGTCTCATCTACCCTTGTGCTGCTGTCAAGTAAAATATGGATGCAGCAAATCTTTTATCTGGAAGGTCAAAGGCACTGTGTTCTCGAGGAACTGGAACTTGAGAGCGCTTCAAATCTATTCCCGTCTCTCACCCTGACTCACTGCATGTTTGGCCTTGAGCGAGGTGCTAAGAAGGTCAATGTTTCCAGAAGCATGCTGCATTTGAGCTACCTTCAGGCTGACTCAAGAGGTTCAGAACAACCACAGCTCCCACTGAGGTAAAAAAAAAATTAGAGACTTCTGAAAACATGGCTGCAAACTTGTGTGTTCTCCCATTTGTAAGTGAGGATAGCAATGTTTACTCACCTTTCTGAGGGGCTGTGGGCATTAACTGATGGTTACACAGGGCTGTAACATTTTAAAGAACTCTAATTGCTGGGCATTTTTATTATCAGGGTGGTAGCTCATGAAAACTAAAGGGTGCATTAATAAAAAGACCTGGATCTTAGATAGGTCTTTTCATCCATCGATCACAAAGTGCCTTACACTGGTGAGTCGTCTTATCCTCTTTTTATAGATAGGGAAATGAGGCAGAGAGGGGTAGTGACTTGCTCGAGGTCACAGCAGGTCAGTGGCAGAGCCAGGAACAGAACCTGAGTCTGACTCAGGATCCAATGCCTTGCCTACCAGAGTGTACTGTATAATGGGCATTCGCATTCATAATCCCTTGAAAGGTTACTAGGAATTAATGTACATGTCCTGAGGAAAAAAAGGCTTCTTAAATTATGCATTGTGGCATTCTGTACTCTACATGTGTATTATCTGTCTTGTTAAAGCCCTGTTAATTGGTTGAAAGGACAGTTGGATGGCTGCTGTTATGACAGTTATTTTCTGGGCTGCCTGTCATGTTGTTATTTCCTAGGGAAATGCAACTAACAACATGCATACAGCTCAGCTGAGGAACAGATCGGTTTCACATAGACAGGAAAATGTTTCCTTGTACCCAAACTAGATTTTTGCATGCATGTGCATACTCACCCAAAACCTGCCTTGCATTGCTCCATGCCGCCAGATTTGCTTTGTTTAGCAGGCATATCATATGCACAGGGCATTCTGTCATGAGAGCACATTCTGCCCATCAACTCCCAAGCAAGAATTCACCAAGCACATCTAACTGTGCCGGTAACAAAGGTGAATTGGGCTTTCACTAGGAATTACTGTAAGCTCTCATGACTAATCTTGTACAAATCTTGCTGATCTACTTTTCAGGGTTCAAACTACGTTCTTCCTTAATACCAAAATGCTAAAATCTTATAAAGCCCTATTTTTTGCTGACTACTTTTTTCTATGCTCTAAGCCTACCACAATGCATGCAAACAAGTGTTGTTAAATTTATAAAGCTTTTAACTAAAAATAATTAAAAATATCAAACATAAATTAAGATATTTATTCCTCTTTATCCATTGTTTTAAGCACTGAATCTTCTCCCAAGATTTTGCAAAGTTCATTCAGTCTCTGCTGCATTTCAGGAATTCCTGCAAGCTGGGATTCTAGTCTTTGTTTTTCCTCATTGAGTGATAAGCGGATAGCAGTGTCCAATTGTTCTAAACGCCAGCCTCCTTCTCCATCAAACTGCAACAAGTGAGTATGGTACTTCCTGCAGAAGAATTTAAAATATTAGTAATGGCTTTAGGGACATTTTTGTAAGTAAGGTTTGAGGTTCCTGGGTGTTAAGTGCCTTAAGGCAGACTTTGAGCCAGGCACTTTTGTATAAAACATCTTCACGCTGCAATACCACCATGGCTGAGAATGGGCCGTTTTTACAGTCACTGGGAAAAGCTTTTAAAAGCAAGTATGTGACTTGGAAGCCTAAGTCCCATTTTCAAAAAGAGACTTCAGAGCTTTGTAACCTAAGTCTCATTGAAAGTCACTGGGACTTACCCTAAGGCCTTGCCTACACAGGGATTCAGCAGTTGCCGGTCAGCAGTCTACGTAGCTGCACTGGTGCTGACCCCTGAGTGTAGACAAAGACAAGCCACGGTTTGCAGCAATTGAGCCCCCCGCCCTCTCAGAGCTCCCTGCTGAGGTGGTGCTGGTGGGCACCCTCAACTGGGTTATTAGGGGTGCTACCCCAGGGCCTTTGGCTTCAGGGGGTGGAGGTGGCTGTCTCCCACTTCCTGGCTGCCCAACAAGGAATGGCAATGGCGGCTGAGGCTGTGCTGCCCGGCAAAGCCCTGTTTCTTCAGATACTGTAACAGCAGCAGCATCTGGGGATCTCTGTCATAGGGGAATGGCAGCAGGGAGCCCTCTTTCCTGGCTGCACTCACCAAAGCAGCCGAGACCTCTACACCTCCTCAACCAGCCAAGGAAAATCCTTCTCTCCTGCCCACCCACCTGAAGAGAATCGGCAGCTGCTCTCTATGTGCGCTTACCTAAGCAGAATGCCTCATGCTGCAGGGAGTCCCCTTCACACAAGGACATCACAACTCCACAGCTATGGGACCTCTACACAAGCCCAAGCCCCCATTTATATAAAATGACCCCTTCCACTCCACAGAATGGAGGGAGCATATAGACCATTTAATTTTCTTTATGTTACTTTCTATGTGATATTATACCTTCCTACCAGAAAGTCCACAGGTCCCGATATTTTGCAGGACTGGGTGCATCAGAATGCTATTGGTGCGACTGTATTTATTTTATGTTGCATGTCATTTTTCCTGAATTTCAAGCCCTGACTGTAAGCTTTGCCTGTCCAAACCCTTCAGTTCTCCAGTGTCCCTTGATTTGCAAGTAGTGGAAAAAAAACAACTCAGCACAGGTGTCATAGATCTTTCAATCAGCAGCAGGGCGTGTGCTCAAAGAAATATTACAAGATTTGCACATTGACTTTTTCAAGACACATACAGATACTTAAGAACATGGGGGGGTGGGGTTTCCAGCAGATGTGCTGTTACGAGCTGGGTAATTGAAAGGAAGTTTACTGATGTCGAACTACATCACAAAGTGGTGATTATCAAAGTCATGTAATTCCATAAAGGAGATTTGATAAATTAATAAACTTCCACAGTTTATGACATAATCAGCAGATGAGATAGAATTGTATCATTATAATGACTACTTCACATGCATTGTTCTGTATAGCACAGATTGTTTAACCAATCCTCTTATACCCACTCCCAAAAGACACATAAATTAGAAAGAAGACACTGTCCTGAGAAGAAAATTGGCTGCTCTCCCAGACAGCATTAATCAGCCATCTCAGACTATCTGCTGCATGAAACATAAAATAACTGGTATTGTCCAGTGTTATCCTTGAGGAAGAGAGAACAGTTCATAATCTGATCTTCTGTCTCTGCCTGGCAATACCCTGGGAAGCATAGCTGAGTTGAAGACGTTTTAAGTCTAAATCTCAGAATTTGGTACTTCTTTCTTCCCATTCAAGACCAATACACACAGTGTTTATTCCCCACAAGTTTATGAAATGGATGTATTAAAATTTGTCTCTCTTGCTATCAAACGATCAGATCAGTTGATAATTTTGATAAACAAATGGAGATTACAAGAGGAACTGGAAACCTGCCTGACCAGCATAATTATCTGAAAAGAAGTAAAAACAGTGGGGACACAGACCTCCAAAGACCTTCAATCCAAACCAATACATAGAAGCTCCCTCTGGGGTCTCACTCTCTTGTAGGCTAGACACCTCTCCCCCACTCCCATATTTAACTAGATACTTGCTTTCTTATCCAGTGATTTTAAAATAAGCTTGCCCTTTTTTATATTTAAATCGTTTTTTTATTTTTAATATAATCTAATCTCTTTTAAAAATAAGTGGAATATGGGAGCTGAGCTTGGGGGTGGCAAACTTCTATTTTTCCAGATTTCCTGTCATTTGAGTTTTTTTCATAATTTAGGCCCCAATCCTACACATGCTTTACTTTCTGCTCTGTGACTAGTCTCACTGACTAGGGAGGAATATGGCGGAAGCAATCCTTTTCTCAGAGAAGCTAAGGGAAGGGGACAGTAATATAGCATATTTCAACTGTGAGGTCAAGAGGGCACAAAGCCTTTTGTCACAGGATAAAAAAAGAAGGTGGCAGTGGAGAACTTGGACTTGAGAACTAACGGTTCCCATTTAGTAACAGATTTCCTGCTTGGGGGTGCACTGAGAGGTAAAAAACATTGCAGGATTAGAATGCATAATTGATGCTATAAATGATGGGTCTGTTCCTCCTTGTGAATAGGGTGACCAAACAGCAAGTGTGAAAAATCGGGACAGGGGGTGGAGGGTGATAGGAGCCTATATAAGAAAAAGACCCAAAAATCAGGACTGTCCCTAAAAAAAAAATAGGGACATCTGGTCACCCTACTTGTGAAAGACAAAGGAGGAGATTATATTGGTGACATATTGGCCATCTTCTTCTTCCAAGCAATGGACAACCTGCCTGAGAAGCAGCCATTCTATTTATCTTTTCCCTTCATGTTTACAGAATAATATTGTGATATTTGCTGCAGCTGTGACATGATGTATTAATTAATTGGCTCTTTCACTATCTGCATGTTGCTATTAAGAGTGAAAAATTCAAATGCATTAAAAAAAAGGAAATAAATAGGTGTACATAAAAGGGAGAAAATCAATGCTAAATGCAGTTCCTTGTCTATTATTGTAGTCAAGTTATCTTAAAAGGAGCATAGATATTGATTTAACAAGTGTACTGGAGCACAGAAGAAAAGCGAGTCTATCATCTGGTAGAAAGCTAAAAATAACCCCCCATTGTAAGTACTTGGATATACTCACCAAAGAGAAGGTCTGTGTGTGATAGAAAGCAAGGATATCCCAGAACCTTTTGCAGCTTGGAATATCTTTCCTTCAACATCAATGCTTACAGCACTCGTACATTCATCCAATAATGCATATTTTGGTCTTTCAAAAGAAAAGAAAACGTGTTCCTCATTTAGTTGTTGCACAACATTCCTATACACTGCATACAATGCTTAATTTAAAGAACAGAGATGATGCTTGTTGGGTGAGATAACTGGTTTTCAGAGCCCACTGTCACTCATCTAGTACTGTAAGCTAGTATGCAACAGCACAATGGCCCCACTCCTCAAACCCTTACTCAGATAAAACTGCCTTGGTCTTTAATTATAACCCACTAGTGCATGGGAGTAGAGTAGAGGCTTCACTCTACATGCAGCAGATTAGTGAGAAGTTTGCAAGTGCTGCACAATATCATAGAAGCTCCAAAGTTCTAATAAAAATACATTAAAAGCCCTTACCGAGGAGCCCAGCTTGGTGGATCAGTGATAAAGCATTGCTCTGCCATTCGAGAGATCTAGGCTCAATCCCAGATCACACTCTCTTACCCCCCAGGCCACAATGGAAGAATACAGCACCTGAGGGAAGGGAATGCTTTACGCTGCTTACAGGCAGCCATTCTGGCTGACAAAAGAATATAGTGGGCAGCTACTCAAAATAGGTTGATATTAAATTACACACGTGAGGCTTATACCCTAGAACCACTACACTACTGCCTTTGGAATGGAATAGATAGACTACCATCGAACAAAATCATCAGAGACAGAGATGAACATGATATGTTGGGGGAAGAGTCAACACAGCTTGTGTAAAGGGAAATCATGTCTCACCAATCTGTTAGAATTCTCTGAAGGAGTCAAACAAATATGTGGACAAGGGTGATCCAGCTAATATAGTGTACTTGTACTTTCAGAAAGCCTATGACAAGGTCCTATGTCAAAGGCCCTTAAACAAAGAAAGATAAAAGGGAAGGTCCTCTCATTGGATCAATAACTGGTTAAAAGATGGGAAACAGAGGGTAGGAATAAATAGTCAGTTTTCACAATGGAGAAAGGTAAATAGTGGAGTAACCCAAGGATCTGTACTGGAAGCTGTGCTGTTCAACATATTCATAAGTGATCTGGAAAAGAGGGTGAACAGAGAAGTGGCAACATTTGCAGATGACACAAAATTATTCAAGATAGTTAAGTGCAAAGCTGACTGTGAAGAGTCACAAAGGGATCTCACTAAACCCAGTCATCCACTGAGTGACAAAACAGCAGACAAAATTCAGTGTTAATAAATGCAAAGTAATGCACATTGGAAAAAATAATCCCAACTATACATACAAAATGATGTGGTTTAAATTAGCTGTTGCCAATCAAAGAGATCTTGGCATCATTGATAGTCCTCTAAAAACATTCGCTCAATGTGCGGTGGCACTCAAAAAAGTGAGCAGAATATTAGGACCCATTAGGAAAGGGATAGATAAGAAGACAGTAAATATCATATTGCCAGTATATAAATGCATAGTATGCCTACACTTGGAATACTGCATGCAGATCTGGTTGACCCATCTTAAAATATATATATATATATATATATATACACACACACACACACACACTAGAATTGGAAAAGGTGCAGAGAAGGGCAACCAAAATGACTAGGGGTTTGGAAGAACTTCCATAGGAGGAGAGATTAAAAAGACTGGGACTGTTCAGATTAGAAAAGAGATGACAAAGGGGGATATGACAGAGGTCTATAAAATCATGACTGGTGCGGAGAAAAAGTGTTATTTACCCCTTTGCAAAAGGGAAGTAGAGGTCACCTGATTAAATGATCAGGCAGCAGGTTTGAAACAAACAAAAGGAAAGGCTTCTTCACATAACACACAATCAGCCTGTGGAACTCATTACCACGGGATGTTGTGAAGGCCAAAGATATAACTGGGTTCAAAAAAGAATTATATAAATCCATGGAGGATAGGTCCAGCCTGACTAATAGCAACCCCATGTGCCACTGTCCCTGAACTTTCAACTGCCAAAAGCTAGGACTGGATGAGAGCAGATGGATTATTCAAAACTGCTCTTTTCTGTTCATTCCCTTTGAAGCATCTGGCACTGGCCACTATCAGAGAGAGGGGACTGGACTGGACTAGATAGGCCACTGATCTGACAGTGTGGCCATTCTTATGTTCTGATTAGATAAAATACCCAACAGGGAATCTAGGTTTGAATCCCATGCTGGGACTGTTATTTGGTATCGGTGTGTACAGCACCTAGCACAGTGAGGCCCATACCTGTCTGGCTTCTAGGCAGCACTGCAATATAAAAGTGTTAATGGCTTTTGCTTCCTGATCTTGCTCTGTGCATGGTGGTGGAACTTCTGGGTGCAGGGCTGATCTTGTATTACTCAGCAGTGTTAATGTATCAGAAAGTAACTAACGAGCAACTCAAGATGCTTCTATCCCTCCAGGTGCTGAGTGTGTTGCCTTTGCAGAGTTTCCAGCCTCAGGTGGTCCAAGAGTAAAGGTCCAAAGGATAGGTCTCAAACTCACATCCCCCGTATGATGATATTTCCCACGATATTTCTAGGATTGCCCCAATGTGATCATTTTTGTTCATGATGCTAAGGAGAGTAATGTTTGGAAAACGCAATGCTTTTAGGGACAAATTAAAGCAGAAACAAGAAGCATCACCCAAACTAAAAAGCAGATCTCATACACACACCTCTTACAAACTGTGAAGTCTCTTTTCCTGTGCAACTGCCAATCAGTACTGTGTGGGGGTATAAAGACTATCACTGCTCAAACCATTTTTGCAAGCTTCCAAAGCTTGGCTGCCTGAAGAGCAAGTGAATACACTTACTTATGATAAAACATGCGAGCCATGCCCATCCTCTGCTTTTCTCCTCCTGATAAGACATCTCTCCAGTCCATCACAGCATCCCAGCCTTCAAAAAGATACAAACAAAACAGGGAACCATAATGTACAAAACAAGAAACCACAGAAAATTAAGTTCCTGCGTGCCTGCAATCCTCGATTTAAAGCAGAAACAAAATTCCCAGTGGTGTGGTAGAAGAGGTAGATCAAGGTGCTGGGTAAAATTTTCCGAAGTGCCTAAGACACTTATGATCCTAAATCCCATAGTGTTATTTGAAATAGGCTCCTAAATCCCACTTCAATTTTGAAAATGAGATTTGGCTCCTAAGTCACTTATGCACTTCTGAAATGTTTACATGTCACCTCTGACAAATGTATTCTTTCAGCTGGGTAAATCTATTTCTTTTTTTTTTTCCTGGCATGTTACTTTCCCATGGGATAATGCGACACTTCCTTAAAAGTTGAATAAGAATTTTAAAATAATCAACCTACAGGATAAAGAGAAAGGAAATTTAAGAAAATAAATGAGAATTCAATGAGTCAAAATATAAAACTATAACAGTTACAGAGTGACTCCCTTGCTATTGCAGGTAAGAATGATGTCCACTCAGATTTTTGGTGACCCAGTTAGAAATGTCACTCACATGCCTCTGCACTGTGAATGCAGACTGTATGCACAAATGGGCAGCTAACACAAACTGGGTACCTGTACAGCACGTGTGCGCACACAGATTTTTTTTTCGCATGCAAACCTCTCCGCCCCTTTAATAAAAAGGTAACCCACAATTTCTATAACATTTGACACTGTTTATATAATTAGATTTTCCCATAAATCTTTTTACCATCTCTTCCTCATAGAAAAATCAGTAAAAAAACCCCTATCTGAATGCATTTTATTTGCTTATTATTGTGGAATTGTGTTTATGTCAGCATTATGGCATACTCCTCACATTATACAGGCTACCTTATTAAAATTAAGATTTTAATAAAATTAAGCTTGATAGAACAGTGCAAAACAAGAAATTATTTTTAAAAGGGAGAAACTAGGGTAAGCACATTTCTCCCAATCAATCATTTACAGAGGAGAGAGACAGACTGTCTGACAGGTGGGAGAGGGGGTGGAAGAGAAGGAGGATATATTTCCAGATCAACCCAACACCACTGAAACTAGAGGAATAAAGAGATCCACAAAGACCTTTTCTGCTTCCGCTGCCTGATCAAAAATGAACAGTTGCCAGATAACACCATAAACAAGGTCAAGTAAGCAAGTTAGGCTGTGTGATTTCTTGGCTTTGGTCTATGGTTAGAAAAGTGCAGGCAGGGTTTTGCAAGGGTGCTGTAGGCTTCTGACTACACAATGGCATTGTTGGAATTGTGCCAGGGCCCACCAGGGCTGTGCCTTTGTAATTTAAGAAGCTTCAGTAAGTCTCCTGATGGGAAGTCAAGCTAAATGAAAATGGGAATCAGTAATGCTGTAAGCTGAATTCCTGGAATCTTCTGTCTACCCGATTGTAAAATATGTAGTAACACAATGACATTATTCATATATGTACATGCACGTAAATGACAGAGAAATACAACTTTTTCAGTCCTAGGTTCTATTATTTCTTAGAATTACATTGAACTCAAATCTGGAGGATCTATCTGGCTCTCAGTATATGGCATGTATATTGCTTCCTATCAGCAGATTTCCTTGAAAGAAAGTTGCTTAATTGTCTCCCACTTGAGTTACCATTTGGGTGAATTCTACCACTGGTGATAACTGAATGTGGGGGCTCTTTGTGACAGGGTGTCCCAGGTGCTACGACCCAGCACAGCACTGAGATGGAGTGCTATTCTGCAGACTCAGCCCAGCAGACAGATGCCATGGGTCTGGTGACCTCCAACCAAGGGGAACAGAAGTTTTGGTGTGTCTGTTTAAGACAAGGGGAACTGGGGTAGGGACAGAAAGTAGTAGCCATGCGAACAACTAAACTCAGGAAGTAACTGAGGCTGATGTTTATCTCTCTCTCTTTTTACTTAATAAAAAAGGGAACCCCAGGAACGTATTGGGATGGATGTTCTGGATCCAAAGTGGTCTCTGTGTGTGCGCACGTACTAAGCGTGGGGACTGTGCCCACCTACAGCCTATACCAGATATGGTACAAGAGTGGTGGAAGGCAAAAGAGAGGAAAGGTTGCTGGAAATGGAGGGAACATGACCTGTTTAGTAAATTCCCCCTATGGTCCCCTCCAAAAAAAGATGTGACTTCCATTTATCAAGGCAAAATTGCCAGGTTTGATTCTGCTTTAACTTATACTTTAACTGTATACTAGTATTTTTGTTTGTTTCTGCTGCCCTATTCCCTCTAATGCCTTCCTCATCCATCCCCTCCACGAGACTTAGAAACGTAAGGATTTAATAATGGTTAGGGAACATAATATAAATGTTACCTGTTGGGTAAATTTAAAATTAATGCTAATTTCTAATGCTCTGATTTCTTCCTCTGAACAGTCGGTAGTGTAGCTTGCAATAAACCAACTTCACAGTTTATATCTGCAACAATTGCATGTGGATAAACCCTTTGCACTTACATAGCACCTTTCAGCAAAGTATCTCAGTGCTTTGGAGACTTCAATAAAGCTTACAACACCCGGTGACACAGGCAATTATCCCCATTTTACAGATAAGAAAACTAAGGCAGAGAGGTTAAGGACGAGATCCTTATAACTTCCCCTTAGTCTCTGATTGCACAACACAGGTGTAAAGAATATTGAATATTGTATATATATTCATTTTAGAAATGGCAGGAAAACATCTCTCCAAAGTTGTTTGTGAAAGGAGAACTGTGGGATTTCAGAATGGATTTAGAGACATTTCACAGATAAAAGGTTGGTTTAGTCACATGACAGAATATATGTAACAAAGCAATCAAGCAAAAAAAAATAACCAGACTATCAGAATGGCACATGTTTAATATGTTTAAGCCTGGGTGCTCTTGGCCAGAGTATCGTAAGTGGAAGCTCTTGTCAAAACTACTCTAAATTTGATTGCAAAACCAATTCAGTTCCTTGTACAGGCTCCTGGATCATCCTCTCCCACTTTCAACAACAAAAAGTAGGCATTTGTTCTGAGCACATGTGGTAAAGTACATCCCATGAGCCCCGTCTACATGGAAAGGATTGCACTCTGCTACCGCAAAATGGTCAATAGACAGTCCACATGTTCTTTTGAAACACTGAAAAATAGGCAAATTGAGGATCGGGGTGGAGCAGCTTCATTGACAAAAGCATAAATAGAACTATAGTTATCAGACTGAAGTCTCTGGAGCATATGCCAGGTCTGTCTGTATGTCTATATAGTGCCCAGGCCTATGGGAACCAAGTACTGAAAAGGCTCCTGGAGCTACCGTAATGCAAAATAATAATGCTGCAAAGTCATGAACTAGTTCCACCTGCTTAGTAGTTCATCAGTCCCTAAGCCGACAAAACTGGGCAAGCACTAGGCAGGTTACAACAGGTATCTGGGGATTTTATAATGTAATAAACTGATCAGTGTGCCCCAGGCTGCAGTGCTACTGACAGTTGCTAAATATGTACACATTTTGACCCAGGATAGGGAATTAAAGCTCTACAGATCCATATTTACTTCTTTTTTTTTTAACTCTTTAATCTAGATTACTGGCCATGTCTTTTCAACATCAAATGTTAACCATGGCTTTATTTATTATTTCTAATATATTTTATGTTTCTATTCATTTATTTTATTGTAAAATTATTGGACAGCATCCTGAGCACCTTCACAGTGTTGTAGTGTGGGCTTTATAAATAAACACAATATTAGGTTCCTCTAGCTAAGTAGACACTGTCAGTGTCCTTTTTGTGGATCTGGGACCAAATCCAGCAGTAGTATAAATAAACTGGCTATTATAAGCTTGTTGGAAAACAAGGGTAAGTGCCCCTCATCTGATATGTGAGGCAAACCTGCAGCCAGGCCAGGGTAGCTCACTCTTTTTGTGGATACAGACTAACACGGCTGCTACTCTGAAACCTGTCAGCTGGTCCTGACTCACTGCTCCAACAGAACCTGCAGTGACTCCCCACTCAGTATGCTGCAGCAGCCTATCCCTGAGCAAGACCCAGGTCAGATGACCCCCAGGCATAAGTATTTCACTGACCCTGCAGAGCTGCAAGTCAGTCTGTGCAACAGCACTTCCTGGCCAGGAACCCTTCTGCTGCTTTGCAATATTACTTGGGCCCTACCAAATGCATGGTCCATTTTGGTCAATTACATGGTCATAGGATTTTAAAAATGGTAAATTTCACAGTTTCATATATTTAAACCTGAAATTTCACAGCAGGCTGGGGTGGAGGGGGGTGGTCGCAAGGCTGTTATAGGAAGGTCATGGTATTGCCACCCTTACTTCTGTGCTGCTGCCTTCAGAGCTGGGTGACATACCATACCATGCTGTCCTCACTTCTGCATTGCTGTTGGTGGCTGTGCTGCCTTCACAGCTTGGCTACTGGCCAGCAGCTGCCGCTCTCCGGCCGCCTAGCTCTGTGAAATCTGGTCTCCTCTACAATAGCCTGATTTCATGGGGGAGATCAGACGTCATGGTCTAGGACATGTTTTTCATAGAATCATAGAATATCAGGGTTGGAAGGGACCCCAGAAGGTCATCTAGTCCAACCCCCTGCTCGAAGCAGGACCAATTCCCAATTAAATCATCCCAGCCAGGGCTTTGTCAAGCCTGACCTTAAAAACCTCTAAGGAAGGAGATTCTACCACCTCCCTAGGTAACTCATTCCAGTGTTTCACCACCCTCTTAGTGAAAAAGTTTTTCCTAATATCCAATCTAAACCTCCCCCACTGCAAATTGAGACCATTACTCCTCGTTCTGTCATCTGCTACCATTGAGAACAGTCTAGAGCCATCCTCTTTGGAACCCCCTTTCAGGTAGTTGAAAGCAGCTATCAAATCCCCCCTCATTCTTCTCTTCTGCAGGCTAAACAATCCCAGCTCCCTCAGCCTCTCCTCATAACTCATGTGTTCCAGACCCCTAATCATTTTTGTTGCCCTTCGCTGGACTCT